AGGCTTTGTCATTGGGACTCTGTCTGGCCCGGTAGCCTGAATCTTTCATGTGGAACTGCAAAAAGAAAAAGAAAAAAGAAATCAGTCTGCTCAGGGAAAGCCAACAGGGCTCATGGGAGAGGGGCAGAGACTAGGAACCCTTCAGGGAAGCCGGTCACACAGGTGACACAGAAGCACCCCAAAGGCCCTGCACGGGCCTCCGAGGCAGCCCTGCATTTCCAGTCCCAAGGACCAGATCTGGGGCCCGACTGTGCATCCTGGGACTGTTCTCTTGTCTGTGCACTGAGTGCAGGGAGTGCTTCCTCAGTGGCTGGTGCAGAGAGTAAACAAGATGCCGTGAGAAACCGCCGCGACACAGTCCGGAGTGATCTGTCTGCACAGAATAAGGCATCTACCCCACCACTGTTCGGGGCATTTCACACCTGGGAGTCCTGTCTTGAGCTGTCAGTTTTGCCACATTTTCAAATTGCATTTCAGGTCCTCCGCGCCCCACTGCTGGGCATGGAATTCCCTGGCTCCACAATGCGGGACACAGGCTCCCCGAAACAATTTCAGTAAAGCCATAAGCCAAGCTCATGTGGGAAAGTTTTCTGCTTTCTCAGAGAAGATTGCATTTTGTGGTAAAATACTGGTTATACGCGTATACTTGAAATAAAGAAAGCACTCTAAAATTAATCCAAGTGATAAATGTCTCTTTTGTAATGTAGTGTGTAAGTACTTGTACACACAATATAGCTCTTTTTAAAAAGGAATACAACATAGTAACCCTAAGAAATATGAATTTTACTGGCAGGAAACGTTTGGGAGGTACAAATTCTCCTAAGACTAACATTAGCTATAAAAAATGTAGTATTTCAGTGCAGTTCAATATTTTCTTTCATCAGCAGCTCAGAGCCTCAGCCCACAAGTTAAGAGGAATGTAATAAGCTGACTGTATGTGTTATAACTGAAGCTCCTTTTGCAACCAGCATCCTGAGGGACAGAGCAAAGAGGTGGCCTTGGACTTGAGCTAAAATGGGAACTCCTGCGCTTTTGCTCAGGACGCGCGAGGACCCTGGCCCAGGGAGCCACACCCCTCCTGCAGTTGCAGCAGCAACCTAAACCTAAGGACCGCAAGCAGCTGTGAAAGATGCGCTCAGGCCTCTCCCCGGGGCCGCTGCTGCTTGCCAAAGCAGTCTGTCCACCCCCAGGTCCACCTGGGGAACCACTGCGCATCACTCTGCTTTGCTAGGATCTCCTACTTAGAGTCATTAGGATGCTAAGTCAGTCTCCATCTGCTAAGAAGTGGGAAGATCTGTACACAGGGTGACCATCTGAGGAGGTACTTTTTTAACTAAAAAAAAAAAAAAAAAGGCAGAGAAATAATTCATTTATTTAACCCAGAAATGGTTATAATCTGAAACCCTGCAATCCTATTACGCAACAACTGTTTTGGCAAATGCCGTTATGTTCGAACAAATATTAAACTGTGCTTGCCATTTGTCTAAGGAATCTTGCATTAATAAACATGAAGAAGAACACTTTTACCTCCCACTCTCAATGACAGGACCAAACAAAGACCAGCTGTATTCATCAATGGGTCCTTGTTCTGCACATAAAGGCTAATTACATTTCGCTTCAAGCCTACACATGGAAAACTTTACCGCTGCCATCCCCATCACAGTCAGCCCGTGCTGTCCCAGCTGACGCAGGGTGATGACTGTACACAGTAAGCAGGGGTCCTGGGACAGCCTTAATGCCATCGACCCGCAGGCTTCTTTACAAAATGGGGGTGGGGGAGGGTCACCTCAGTCACATCTCCCAGTGACAGAGAGGCAGAGGCAATGCATGCTCTTTAAATCTCATGGTGGAGATGACGCCATGAAGGTCATCTTGTTTAAGGCCTGCTATTTTCAGAAAAGCACCCCAAGTCCTCCCGCGAGGTCGCTAGGAGGAGCTTCTGTTGTTTGCAGGGCTGTCGCTGCATGCTAGGGGAGACACACACACCTTCTCACTGCTGTCCGGACCACCCCAGGCCTTGACTCTGATGCCCACTGAACAGGTGAGGAAAGTGAGACGCGGAGGTCAGAGCTTATCCAAGGTCACACAGGGACGGGGGCAGTGCACCTCCATGGTCTGCTCCCAGGTCAGCCTTCTCCAAAGCCTGTGTTCCTCCATTCTTTCCCTACCCCCTTCCTACGTTTTCTGTCAACAAATATAAGAATCCCTCTTTTTGAAGACAGAAAAAAATTGTTTTGAAATGTTTTAAGACCGTTTGTGAAAATATTTGCCCCTGGAGGGCTTATATTCACATGTATCAATGAAAAGATGTCTAATAAAATACATGTGGGTTGGGGCTGAAACAGATGGCGGAGGGACAAACCTTTCCCAGGAAATAACAGGGGAGAGGAATGCGGAGGGGGAAGCTTCATGTGGGATCTCCAAGGCTGAAGCAATTGCCTCCAAAGTTAAAAGAAAGTAGCAATTATTATCTCAGTCCATTCTCTGCATTTTTTGTGGATTACTTACTCTGGGAACCATTTGCAGTTAAGCGTTTGGCCCCAGGCTCCCTTTTGTTAGTAGTCGTCCATCTCCGAATTGTGAACTGTGACGTGTGGATCCCTGTCTGCACCTAAGTCCAGCCCTCGGTACTACCACGCCCACCTCGACCCTGCAGAGAAGCTACTGGGGACTTCTGGCTGCTCCTCTAGAAGAGCAGCCCTGCTGGCCTTGTGTTTTCTCAAACTGCCTCCAGGAACGGCCTCCTTTGACCTCCAGAAGTCCCTCACCTTGACTCATCTTTCAACCTCAAATCATACATCAGCCCCTTCAGAAAGGCTTCCTGGACAGTTCACTCCTTTTGCTCCAGCTGGGTGGGGTCCTGTGCTGGACACCGCCATTTCCAACTCCAGCTCCCTTCCCCCACCTCCCGAGGTCTGCCCTCTGGCTTTTAAGTTCGCCATAAGGAGTCCTGGCAGAGACAGGTAGGAGGGTAAGGCTGGGGCTCCCTGGTGCTGCCCTGGATTTCTCAACCCTCCCAAAGGCCACCACAACTCTCAAGGTGCCCATCAAGCTGGGCATGGTGGCCTTGGCCAGTGCTCCCTAGGGATGCTGCACTCCCTCTGGGTCCCCTCCTCCCAGCCCACGCTGCAGCAAACAGTTCGAATGTGACACTCTCTCCGATTGCTGTAGTTGGCATGTGCGGTCTGTCTTCTGTAGAGACCCTGATGGGCAAGGTGCCCATGCTAACTGGTCCTCTCTGTCACAGCAGTGACCACACTGTAGGGCAATGGCTTTTCTCTCCTCTGAGCCTTTCATCCCAGGCTTTCCAGAGCCCAGCACAGGGCTGGGCTCAGAACAGGCCCCCAGGAGTGTCTGCTGGGTTAATGAGTGGACCAGTGACCTTTGGATCACGTCCATCATGTACCTGCCAGGCTTGTTCTCGCCACGTGCACATGTGCATACCACAGCCTGCCTCCCCACTCATTGCTGGAGAGGACAAGAGAATTTCCTGCTATGATCACAGGAGGGGACACACCCCAGCTGCACCCGTGCCCCTGTCTGCAGTGTCTGACAACAGCCAGCCCTGAAGCATTTTCATGATGAACAGTCAACCCCCTACATTCTGATTCAATTTTCCGGTTCTGGTGGGGAGAAGTGAGTCACCCCCCAGCATTAGCTGGGCCTATGGTGAGGCCGGGAAGAGGATGGGGACAGGGGCTAAGACATCCCTTCCTCTCTGGTTCTGTCTCCCAGTCACTTACCCAGCCACCATGTTCCCTACCTAGAGGAAGTGAAGACCTGAGAGTAGAGGAAAATTTGATTTCTTACTAGATGGCCGTTCTCTGTTGCTTCCTCGTCCCTAAGACAGGGCGGTCAGACGGAGACAAATTTTCTGTGCAGCTCTTTAGAAGCCCAGTAAGAAAAAAAATGATGGTTCTAAACCAGGGACAGTATTAGCCACCATGTGACAAGTGGCGTTTTTTGCTGCCAAGTCGGAACAGCCTCAGTGGATACTCTGACATCAGGCAGTTTTTTCCCCCAGCAGTGCAGCCCACGGCTGACCGTACCTGCCCATGTGCAGGGGGGAAGCACGGCAGCAGGCGTGGCCTTCTGGGAGCTGAATTTTCAAAACAGCGTTTTTTTCAAAAAGGTTGTGATTGGGATCTACAGGAATAACTGTACTTTACATCCCGGGAGGAGGGGGGCACTATTTAGTGGCACCCCCCACCTCCGAGTCCCCGTGTGAGTGAGCATACCAGAACTTTCCTACTGGAGCAGGCCGCCTGAGAGACACAGCCGGGGGCACGTGGGTTTTGGGGGGAGACAGGAAGAGGCTCCCAGAACAGGAAAAGGTGGCTCAAACCCTAGCCTGACATCCTGTCTGCACTTTAGTAGAGAAGGCCTTGTCTAGGAACAATCTCTGTGGCTTCTCCACCTTTCTTGATTTATGTCAAAATTATTTATTTTCTGGTGTTCTGTACAGAGGGTGGGCAGACAAGAAGTGATCCTATGTCAGACCACTCATTTCCTTCTCAAGAGAGCCTCATGTGACACACCTGACTGAATATGCACACTCACTACATGTGCACACCTGTGCAGGGGACACCCGGTGTTTCAAGGTGCCATTTGCACAAATAAACCCACGTGGGAATGAAGGACTCTGGCCCAGGTGAAAGGCAATGTGATTCATACAGACGAAGCAGGTCCCATGGATCCTACCTCCTGTAAGTTGACTCTCCCAAAATTTCTCAGAAAACGGCAGCATTAACCCAGGTTCACAGAAATTAGGGGAAAAAGTTTCAGGTGGGAGGACTGTTTCGAGAGCATCGGAACTTGGGTCTTCAACTCGGGCAAGCAAGCCGTGCCTGTGACACTGCCTCCCTCACAGCAGTTCAGAGGCCAAGGACCTCCCGCACCCTGCACCACTTTGCAAAGCCCACAGACTGAAGGGAGAAGCAGGGGAAATCTTTTATGGATCAGCACAATCGGGTGAGACCCAAAGCCAGACAGAGACTTACTTGGCAGTAATTTCTTCATCGTATTTGGTTTTCAGGTCAAATAATTCTGTTTGAGTTTTTTCCAGGGCTGAAAGGCAGAGGACATAAAACCATAATATAAGATACTAATTGTTTAAGTTAAATTAAAAAAGGAACAGTATACAAGTCACATATACTCATTTTAAAAGAGTCAAAAATTACAAAAGTACACAGAATGGAACAGCAAATCCCTTTTCACCTCCACCTCATCTCATTCCACGCACCTCCTTGGAGATAACCATTGTTTATTATGGTTTAGTGTAGATTTCCTTCCTTTAAAGACATTGTTATTTAAAGTATTGCCATGCATAGTTGCACATATATGTATATATTTTTCATCCCCCGTAAGTAGGGTAATACAAATATTCCCAGACTGGCCTCAGCAGAGTGGCATGAAATGGTCTCCCCGTCAGGCACGGGCAGTAGCAGTGACCACGCGCCCCGGTGTGAGCCCGCCTGCCGCCAGCCAGGCCCTGCAGGCCTGGAAGTGCAGGCCGGGGGCGAGGAGCGGCGCCACCCCACCTATAGATCGATACCGCCACGCTGGCCTCCCAAGGGGCAAATTACAGTCCCATTAATTCTGCAAGTGTGACTGTTTTCCTATAATCTCACCAACACCGAAGATTATCAATTAAAATTTTGTTTGACAGTCTGATAGGCAAACTAATCTTTCACTGATTTAATTAGCATCTCCCAGACTATTAAAAATCGTTAACATTTTTTACATGTATATCAGCCATGTGCATCTCTTCTGCCTGTGCACATCCTCTCTCCACTGTTCTACTGGACTGTTTATTTTCATTGATTTGTAGGAAGTCTTTATATATTTTCAGTATTATTTATTTGTCTGGTAAATGTGTTGTGATTATCTTCTACATTAAAATTAAATATATAGTGCTGTTTCCCTTTAAGAATAAAAAGAAAAATGAAAAAGGTCATAAAAAATTTAGCATAACCTTTTTTGCTACCTTTTAAAATTTTAAGGTCTGTTATTACTGTTCTCCCTAACTTCACTAAGGGTAGAAATAAGTTTTTCTTTTCCTAATATCACGCCCAATGAAATGTCAGTCCTTGACACTTTGGTGATTTAGGTGTGTTTGTTGGAGAAAGAGCAGGAAGAAAGTGTGGCTCGAAGAAGGGATGTGGATGTAACTCGGATCCTCCCACCCTGACACTGACGACTCAGTGTGGGTGAGAAAAGAAGTCAAGGCAAAGAAGCCGGCGCTCTCTGAGGCACCCTGGGGCGTGGGCTCCCTTCCCTCCTCCAGGCTCCCCAGGGCAGGGCAGCAGGTGTCAGCGGGGGTCTGGGGGTACCTGGAGATGGACCAAACTACACCCATGTCGGTCCTCCCTGCATCAACGACAAGGATGAAGATTATCACACCTGTTTGTAGGGTCTGAACTTTGTGTTCCGCTTCCTCCAGCTTTGAGGTGGTGGACATCTGTGTCTCGTGCAGCTTTCTGAATGGGAAGAGAATGAAGCCAAACTGGTCATCTTGTTTACCAACATAAACATCTTGTGTGCTCTGGAGCCGTGCCCATCAGTGGTCTTCACCATGACACACAGACAGCGACAGGCCCAGGGTCAGGTGTCGCTCGTCCGCCACGAGCACTGAGGAGCCTGCTGAGTGATCGTGCGCACCCCAGCTCTGCACCCAGGTGTCACATAAAGTGAGGCGCACACCCTGTGGGGCTTGATGGGTGGTAACTGATGGGGAAGGTTATCCTAAATGTAATTTGTTCTTGAAATGCTAGATATTAAAAAAATCATCATCATGCACTCATTGTTTTCTAAAGTTAGCCCGAGAAGAACGATACATTTACATTTTGCTGACACAATGAGGGAATTTGCTGGAATAAAGGATGCACTAAGCAGATGTGACAGCTGTTGCGTTTCTGCCATAATGGAATGCGAGTGCAGCCGCCATGCCTGATGGGGAAACCCGAGTGTCTGCAGCCACGTTCTGCGTGTTTACATTTCCCAGGCTCTCCAAGTGAATTCTCTGGTCAGCTGGGACAATTCCTTCCTCCCAATCTGCAGAAAATTCTCCAAAAATAAGTTCATCGTTTTTACATCATAGGAATATAATATTACATACTCTCGCAATAATAAACCTGGGAATACAGACAAGTAGAAATAAGTTTTAAAAAATCACCCAGATTTCCATCACCTATGGAAGTGGATTGCTCACATTTTCACATACTTTAATTATAAAACTATTATATGCCCTGAATTTAACACACACAAATACTGTGAGAGCATGGAAGATAAAATGCCCTTTCCCTTCCTTGGTTCCATTTCTTTCTAAGATAGAGCTCTTTCATAGCCTTCTGTACATGCAGAAGTTTTCCTACATGTACAGAGATACAATGTAACCTGCACTACACAACAGTGTAATATACACTCATGTGATACACTATAGTGTAAACTCACGTACTAGTCACTGTTGTGTACCGTACACTGACGTGTAACACACTGTAGTGTATATTGCATATACACTGCCTGCCCCCTTCTCTTAGGACAGAAAGGAAGACAGCACACAAGTTGTTCTGAAGCTTGCTTTTTCATTCATCCTCAGACTTTGGAGATATTCTACTCCAGCATATACAGTTCTTCTTCATTCTTACTAAATAATGGATATAACCAGGCCTCTACAAATGTTTCGATGGTTTATCATCTATTTCCACTGAACAGTTCTGCAGTGATCATCACGTCGGTTTGCTGCATAATTCTGAGAGTACATGTCAGATAAAAATGGTCAAAAGATATGTGCAATTCGTTTTGTTTTGATAGATACTGAGAAACTTCCCAACGAAGCAAACCTCACCAATTTAAACACCCTCCAACAGTACGTGCAGGTCTGTTTCCCTGTCCAACTCAGAATAAAACAAAACTTCGTTTTACTGCTGAGTAAAGCTGAGCATTTCTGTTCTATGAATGACCTGCTTATTGCCTCTGCCCACTTTTTTGTGGTCCTTTGATTTTGTCTTACTAATTTGTAAGAGTTCTTTGTATACAAAGGACATTAGCCCCCCCTTATTTAATGGTGCTAATACTTGGTATTTGCTTTAAAAATGTTTTAAATTTTAGGTAGTCACATTTAGATAATTTCCCTTTTATGTTTACAGAGATCTCTGCACTCCAAATTATTAAAAACAAAACATTTGCCCAAGTTTACTTTTACTATGTACATGACTTAATCATTATTATTTAAATCCTAGATCCATTTCAACTTTTTCACGTAAAGAATGAGGTAAAGAACTAGCTTTGTCTTCCACCCTCAATGGTCAGTTTATTTCATCTTTTTTAAAAAAAGATTTTATTTATTCATTTTTAGAGAGGGGGAAGGGAAGGTGAAAGAGAGGGTGAGAAACATTGATGTATGAGAAACACGTCAATTGGTTTTCTCTCACACACCCCCACCTGGGGACCTGGCCCCCAACACAGGCATGTGCCCTGACTGGGAATCAAACCAGCGAAACCAGCGACCCTTTGGCTCACAGCCTGTGCTCAATCCAGTGGGCTACACCAGCCAGGCTATTCACATCTTTTAATAAAATAAATTCTTTACCTAATTAGAAAAGTCAACTTAAAAGTATTAAATTGCCATATGAGTTTATTTCCACACTTTTGTAATGTATGAGTTTGTGCTGTACAGATGGAATTGCACTGTACATATTTAATCATGCATTTTTCACTTTATTTTATGCTGGATACATTTCTGGTGTTATTGCAAATTCTATGTAACTATTAGTTTAATGGCTGCATAATGTTCCAGTTAGGGATGGCCCATCTTTTACTGACCCATTTCTCCTTGGCAAGCATTTCAATTGCTTATATTCCCCCTCCATCCATTATCAATAACATGGTGTGTAATCTTTTTGGGCATCTCTTTCCTAGGAGGCAGTAAAAGTCTCCTCATCTTTGAGAGCCCTGACTTCTTTGCCAGGGTTTGTGCCATCCCCACACTCCCAGCAGGGTGGGTGTAGTGTCCCTGCCCAGAGTCAGACTTCGCCTTGGTCCTGAGGTGCAGACTTCCATGAAGCCATGTCCGAGCACTGGGAGGTCAGGGCTGCAGTGGTGGATCAGGCCTGGGCACACCTCAGGCTGACAAGGTGGGAGGGCACCTAATCCGAGGCCCAGTTTCTCCATCTGAGATGAGATGTAAAATGAGATATCCAATCTGCAGGTCTGTTCTGGGCTCAGCAGTATGTTCCAAGAGGGCCTCGCAGGTGCAGAGAAGGCACCAGGTGAATGGAGTGGGTCTTCTTCTTCCCTAAATGAACTGGCTTAGCAGCTCTAGAGAGGACTCTGTGATACCTGAGACCTGCATGGAGCCCTCCTTTCACAAGTGCCTGTAGCTGCCCTCAGAGTCTACCACACACAACATCAGGCCTGGCCTCTCACCTGGAACCACAACTTCAGAGTTAATCGGTACACAGATTTCTTCATGACGGGTTTAATATACAAAATCTGCATTTCACCAGAGCTCCTAAAACCCAACTTGCGTCACTTGAATTGGTAATATCAACAGTGCTTACGGTTTTTACAAGAAATCTAACTTTCATGAAATCATCATGATAGTGAAAAACTATTCCACTATTTGTGGTGAAGTAGGCCATCAGAGATCTAAAATTCACAACAGTTGGATGGGTCCTTAACATGTTTTACTGATATCAGCTCCTACCTGAAGCACTGTGAGGTAATAAAAAGATGAACAACTGGCCCTGGCTGGTGTAGCTCAGTGGACTGAGTGCTGGCCTGAGAACCAAAGGGTGACAGGTTTGATTCCCAGTCAGGGCGCATGCCTGGGTTGTGGGACAGGTCCCCAGGAGGGGGCACATGAGAGGCAACCACACACTGATGTTTCTCTCCCTTTCTTCCCCCCTTCTCCTCTCTCTATAAACAAACAAACAAATAAATAAGATGTATAACTGCCATGTGTCAACAATGCACACTTCATGCTCAACCCCCTGACCACGTGGCCTGGACAGACACACCCTGGCCCAAAGACTGACACTGCCCACCAGTGGGGAAACACTGATGCATTTCACTCCAGGTACCCTCACACATTAGAGAATAAGGGATGCCTTTATTTTCCAAACAAAATTTTGCTGTGAGCCCATAGGATTTCGGCTTACAACCTTGGCATATTTCACAGGTACATTTTAAAAATTGTCTTGTCACGTGAAGTTTAGCGGTAAACCATAAAAGTTCATTACGTGCAAACCCCAACACATGCTCACCTCTCCTTTTCTGCAAAATCATTTTGTAACTTTTGTTCCTTTTCAAGAGCTATAGTCTCGGCTTGATTCTTCAGAGTCTGTTCATATTCTCGGATTTTCTCTTTAAGTGCTTTTATCGTAACCTCTGCAGAAAGAAAGAAAAAAAAAAAACAACTACCGTAGGAGAATCACAGTTCCATGTGGCTATATACACAGGCTTTCGTAACTGAGCAGGACTGGTCCGCTTTAAACTTTAGCTCTTCAACTCTGACACAAAATCAATGGTTACGAGTCCCTTCAGAGACCTTTTACTCCCTAAATGTTAAATTGAACTTTAAATGTTTAGGTTGAGGAGGATCAATGGATTTTGCTGGGAAGAAGAGCTATGGTTTCTCTAATACAACTTAAAAAGGGGCGGGGGGGAGGAATCATGGTAAAATATAACATTATCTTATTGATGGGTCTTAAATTAGTCCTCTACTGAGGGAAATTAATAAAGTTTGTGTGGATTTAAGTATTTTCTTACCAAACAGATGAGCCCAGATCATTATTGTGTGTACATTTTGGGAGGCGCCATCTCAGCCAGTCACATGCCCATGTACAGGCCTCCCCGGTGGTGGGCACACCTTTGCCGTGTCACAGTGATGCACCACGGACGTGCTACGTGGGTACAGGGTGGATCTCCTTGGCTGGAAGAGACCCATCCTGGGTCCAGGGAATACCCTTTGCCCAGGCCAGAGCCTGGCAGACTAAGGCTATGTGCTCCGCAGACTAATGGGACATGCGGGAGCTGCTCTTGAGGGAGGGTGAGGGTCATGGACGTGGGCAGTGGTGCTGTGCAAAGAATGAGCCCTGTAGTGCCCAGATTCAGGACACAGGGCCCAGTGGGAGGGCAGGCTGTCCCCGGAAAGTTCAGGCCACACCACCAGGGATGGTATGTTTTTAGCTGTCACTTCAGTAACCCCAAATGGGAATGCCAAAGCAGATACAATGAATGGGCCTTACTCAGACCCATGGGTGGCTCTAGGGCAGGACCACTCCACGTGTTCCCTCCCACAGATCCCGCCATGCCACCTGCATGCTGGACAGTCCCCGGCACAGCACTGTGGTCCCAACTCCAAGGAGAGTGGAGTGCTTGGGGAACTACACCTGCCGTGCACGAATCCATCTCTTAGAAGGTAAAGCTGAGGTTCTTTGTGGCCCCAGCACCTGGAACTCTGGAAATGGCTGAGACACAAATGAATGAAGGAGTCCAGGCTGGGCTGACAGGGTGAGGCTCATGGGGTTCCAGGCTCATGGGCCAATGCCACCACCAGATCTTTGCTCAAGGAAGAGCTTGGATTGGTGACCCTTGTCCTTCAAGCTGTAACTCATATCCACCTTGACTGCCCGAGCGCACAGGCGTGCCAGGCAAGGCAGGAGCACACCGACTAGGCGCCTAGTATTTATGTGGCTTAGTGGATAAAAGCTAAAGGCTCTTTTGTTAAAAGAAGAATTTGGCCCTTTTTATTAAGTGGAACCTGGTAGGTTCTCCTCAGAGGAAAAGAGAGAGAATTAAAACTAATGACCCTGTCAGAGCATTTGAAAGAAGAATGGGGATTTCTGCCTTTTGGACTGGTTATTTTGGGCCTGAAAGAAATGCTCTGTGAGCATAATGGTTAGTGGCACGCATTACTGTCAGACACACTGACAGGGCCAAGGCTGAGCATCAGTGGAACACCTCTGAAATGAACTCCGAGATGGATCACCTCTGAAAATGCTTGCACATTCTTAAAGTCAATGGTCTATGCAATGATGTGAACACAAAGCATTTCTGCGTCTAACAACTAGTTGGAAATACCTGCATAGCCCTTGGACCCCAGTGCTTCTTCCAATGGGGTTTCTCAGCGTGACACCCCTGTGCTTCTCCAGGGGACTGTGGGACACTAGCTGGGGGCTCCCACTCTGTCTCATGAGGTCTTTTTGCCACTTCCCAACCCCCGGTGAGCTGCTCACTGACTGGCTGAGCCTAAGCCAGGAGCTGATGGCTTGTCCTGGAGGTTCTGACTCCTGGCCTCCTGTTCCCGGGCCTGGGTCCCCTACGGGGGGCAGGTGAGGGAAGAGAACACAGTGGCAGAAAGGGTGCTAAAGCGCCCTGCTGTACTCACTAGCTGTACTTGGGCCCCCAATTTACACATCTTTAAATGGGGGGAAGAATTATAGCACATAATAAATTCCTTTCCTGCTCTAACTTTTCATCAATTTACAATATGGCTGTGATAATTAAAACTAGTGACGTGCCTCAATCCTTCCAAATTAAAATCATTTTTATATTGGGAAGAAAAGAGAGGAACTTGACAGTTTTCTGGAGGTTGGAAAAATCTGTTAAGATATCAATAAATAAAGAAAAGGCGGGGGCAGGGGGAGTTCTAGAGAAAAACAACAGTGCTCACGAAGAGCAGCCGACCTTTACTGAGGGCCAGGAACAGCTCCAACGTCTCACCTGCATCTCATTTCACCTACAACCACCCCATGCGGTTGGTATAAGAACCCCCAACCTAGAAGAGGAGGCTTATAACAAAGTGAGACCCCTTGTTCGACTCGCACAGCTAAGCAGTGCTAGTGAAGGGACTTAAACGGGGCCCATAGCCCCCCCCCCCCGTTCCTTTGTTGTTAAGTCTTTGACCATGTAACAAACGGTTTCATTTATAAACGACCATTGGGTAGGGCCTTTGAGGAGCAGAACCCCTCGCACTCGGCTGCAGTCCTCACTGGGCGACTGGCCACGGAGGCGCTGACAAAGCCAGGTGGGGGCAGGGCACCAGCACCTGCACCGCCCTCCCACAAAACGGACGACACCAAGAGTGGGTCTGCCAGAGCACGGTGCGGGAGGCCGCTAGGAGGAAAAAACAAAAACAAAGCTCACTCCTTTTGGGTGGGGTGGCAGCGAAACCCAGGTGTGAGAATTTACAGGCTATCTTCCATCTGGGCATCTGGGTGGTTCTGAAAAGAAACAGCCCCTCCGCGGGGGAGGCAGCACCTTCTCCCACCCAGACCCCAGCCTCCTGAGTCCAACACCTCACGTTCCAGCAGGACAAAGCTGTCCCCGAGTCCCAGTGACTCACTGCTCCCTGTGGCACCAGATGGATGTGAGTGTGTGTGTGTGTTGGGGGGGGGGGGGTGTCTCGGCTGTCCCTGAGCTCTAGTCCCCGAGGAAGGGCAACCACGGGACTGCTGCCTGCACCGCCCAGGCCGCACCTTCCAGCTGCTCGTCAATCTCTCCCTGGAGCCTCTCCATGCACACTCCCCCCTCACCAGCCTGTCTTCAATGGTCTGAAAGCCCGAGGACACTTTTAAAAATTGTCGTCAGTTAATTCTTTATCCCCCTTTGGAGAACATTAAATAGAGAGCCACTTGGAGGAGGTCATCTGAGTGGTTTGCCTTTCCTTTCCAGCTCCTTCCTCACCCGAACAACACCGAAGAGGCTGCGTTTCCACTTGGGGTTGCCTGAAAATCCTATGCTGCTGCCAGATAAGGCTGTAATTTTTCTTCAAGACAAGGAAGTCATCAGGTTCCCGGAATCTGAACACATGCAGGTTTTAGGTGCAGGAGCGATTCCTTTGTTCTTCCCCGACAGGAAACGCCAGGCAACCTTTGCCCTCTCCGTCTTGTTGACGGCTGGGCAACCACACCAAGAGGTGGTTTTCTTTCATTAAATCCGTAATGAATAGGTGAGGCCGACAAGGAAAAAGTAGTGCTTAAACATGCAGACCTGCAGGATGCATCTAAAGCCTTACTGTATCGGCAGCAATGATTAAGTGACTTACTGTCCGTGAGCCTTTGATCACGAGCTGGCTCTCTGACAGGTGTCACCCGGAGGCAACGCATCCCTCTTTTAAAAGGCAGATCCTATCACATGATGACACAGGAAGAATTTGAAAAGAATCCTGATCAGTCCCGTCACAGGACAATAAAATCATATGTAGTTACTTTGTTTTACTTCTAAATAGCTGAGCATTGTTATTATCTCTCTTTAATGATTCTGACTCTTACCCCACCCTGACTTTATGACGTATGTAACAACTAGAACTAGTCCCAACAGCATGGGGAAGGCAATTAAAAAATAAAAAGAAAGAAAGAAAAAGCCAAGCGAAGAATGCACCTTCCACCCACCTTGATTTTTCACTTCGGCGAACTCCTTGTTGTACTCTTCGAGAGTTTCCCTAAGCTTCTGGTTCTCCGTTTCAATGTCGTGCAGGCGCTGCACTTTGAGCTGGAGCTGTTGCCCGAGATCCAGAGCCGGCACGGGGTCTGCACGAGAGAAAAAGATACATAACCTTCTGGTGGACACAGACAAGCCACCTTCATGGTCTCATGGGGGCTCAGGCACATCTCTTGGGGTGCCTGGGAAGCTGGCCTCCAGGCCTGGGGATGCCACCAGAAGTTGGGGCACCTGTGGCCTTGCCACCTCTTTCCAAAGTCTCTGGGAGCCCCATGGCTGAAATGCAGGCACTTCTCTGTTGCCTACAAAGGATGTGACTGCAGACCCAGCCCAGGGCCCCCAAAGCATGAAAACGGGATGCAAATGGCCATGTGCTCACTGGGGTTTGCCCACTGCTCTGGCACAGCAAGACACCGAGTCTCTGAGCTGAAAGGAAGAGAGGTACGTGTGGTGGCAGCAAGGGGAGGGGCCCTGGGAAGAGCCTCCATGCACCTAGAGCTGCACTTGGAGTGGCAGGGGGAGGGGAGAGCCATAAGCCACAAGTTCCCAATAATTCTCATGAAGTTGGAAAAAACACCCAATATTCTGAGAGTGCCTCAGTGTCACAATACACTTTCAGACATTTTTTCATTTGAGCCTCAAAATAATGCTGGGACCGAGGGGGAAGACATGCGCTAGATCCTTTCACAGAAGTAGAAACCAAAGCTGGGGGAAGCTGAGCAACTTGTCCACGGTTTCCTGGCTAGTCAGTGGGCAGAGAGGACTCAAACCCAAGACCATTAACTCCAAGTGACTGCTTTTCCAAGAAGGAAGGTCCCCTAATGGAGTCAGGCAAGCTGAAGACCGGAGACCACTGGGTTCCTGCCCTGGGAAGTTCTGTCATCCCCAGAGGCACAGCTGGTGAGCCGACCCACTCTGACCTGCTCCAAGGCCACTGAGCCAGGCAGCCAGGAGGCCCCCACATTCTAATTACAGTGCAAACAGCAGGAGACAGCACCTGGGCCAGTTACGCGAGGTCTTGTGGCCAGTTCAATGTACTATCTGCTGTCAGATTTACTTACACAAACCTGCATTTTAATCTAAAATTAGAGATTGCAGACACAGAATTTATGGTATTGACTCCTGGCCTTCAGCACAAAATAGAGAGGCATTAAACATTCTTCTGGCATCAATTTGATCTTTATTTTTTTCTTCTGCCGCTTAAAAGGCACTTATAATCCACCTGCTGGGCACCAGTGCAGTACTTCCTCTAGAACACTTGGGCTCCACCAGAGCAGAATACCCTAGTCTGCCAGGCTTAGAAAAGATTATTGAAGATATTTCTGGTATGGACGCCAGCATCACTTATGAAATGGCTGCAAGGATTTAGTCTCCGTTGAGGAATGCTAAACACCAAGCACAGTGGATCAACAAGGGTATATGTTCAAGAGCTCACTTAATTTTCAAATACCAGAGTCATTAATTTTTCAGACCACCCCTGGTTCCTGGAACTGAGGGCGAGATCCACCATGTTTCTGTCGACGCGTCTCCCGGGAGCCAGGAACTCTCCGAGATGCCAACGTCTTTACAGAGTTTACAGAAGGCGCACACTGGGATGTGTCCAGCGCACTGGCAGACCTGTGCCCGGGGTCTCGCACCAACGCTGCCCGTCACATGGAACCCCTGGCTGCAGGGCATGTATTCTGTGTGTACATACGGTTTATGACTCTATCACTTTTTCATTTGTGTCTTTTCATTATTATTTTAATCAGCATTAAAATGTTTATATTAAATTAGATTTTAAAAGCTACTTTGTGGAGTTAGTTCCTTGTAAGTAGGAGTAGTGATAACACTACAGACTGAATTACTCAGAACATTCCAGGCATAGGTTTTTTTCATTCAATATCTTTCCAGGGTACCTTCCCACCCTCCACCCCTCTCTCCACAGCCTTGTGCTGGGCAAATGGCCTGAAGGAAATAAATGGTGTGCCCACATGGCCCCCTTCATAGAGAACTACAAACTGAACTTGAAACTGAGGTCAGGGAAAGACTGAGGAGAAGGAGAGCCGCTGCCCTTGTATACAATCCCATCAGTGCTTGTTCACGCAGCTTTCCGGCACAACTGCTCTTCGAAGAGCTAAGCTGGTATACTGTCCTCTGTCCCTAAAATTTCTGTTGACAACTTTTCCAGTCCATACCTTTTAAAAGGCTGGTACCCACCGTGTCTGCTTAGAATACAAAACAGCTTCCCTTGTTTGATTCAGCAAAAAATTCAGTGACATAAAAATAACACGCACATTATCAGGTGAATGGTAGCTCTGGACCTTTAGACAAAGTTTCAAAGCATTGTATTGTAAACGAAAATCCTGGCAATCTCATAATTACCCATTAAGGCATATATGTTTAATTTAACACTATTAAAGGTTGATGCCTAAGTAGCAAAACTGGTCACAGAATAGAGAATGAACTGAGTGTTCAAACATCTCTACGCATTAAACTTCAAACTTTACTATAGTGCAGTTGAATGATTAAATGCCTACGGCATTTGAATATTGTTTTGGATTATGTAAAAGGCATTGCTAAAGTACCTCTTAGGCTTAATTTTTATTACTTGCATTAAAGGAACAGCTAATTACCACATGACAATATAATGACTCTAGCGTGTTTGGGCTGGAGACCAAAACAAGGACTTTCGGCACGCCAAACCCCAACCTGCACGTTAATCTAGGGGAAATCATAGCTTTTTTGTCTCGTTAATGATTTCCAATGCCATTTAAACCCCACACAAGTATTGTTAGGCCTTATTCTGAATGTCACAAGCCTCCGGTCTCAGCAGCTCAATTAAGGAATTGTCTGGGGGAGGTGCGGGGACACGCCTGTACGTGGAACGGAACACAGGAAACCCCCAGCCTGTCTTCCCTGCCTCCTCCAGCTCTGCACGCTTTCCTGCCAGTTCCAGCCACACAGTGGGACAGACCTGCAATGCGCTTTAATATCATCTAATAGTTAATCCCTGAAACGCTCTTTGAGGCACTATAGAGCTCTCTATGCAACACAGGACTCAAAGAACATAATTACAACAAACAACAACACGGTCACTCAGCACCTTCTCCCGAGGACCTGTAACATTACCTCATTATTTCCAGCCTTCAAGGTCAGGGCTGAGGGAGGGGGCTCCACAGCAGGGCTGGTGCTGGCTTCTTACTCAAGGGGCCAGGGGTTGGAGATAAGTCAGCCAGGCAAACAGGTATGCAAAATTCTTATGAAGACTTCTGCTTCCTGAACTAGCAGCCAACTAAATCATCCTCTCTTCAAGTCCTAATGTAACAAGTTAAGCACCTCTCTGCTCCAGGTAAGGCCCAAGTGAGGCACTGGGATGAACATGCAGCCACGTCGGCTGGGACCAACTTCACAGTGGAGATAAACCATGTTCGCAAATAACAAGAGTGAAACAAGATGGGCCACACAGATCAGATGAGTGGAGGACCACTCCCGGACAGAGAAACTGGGAAAAGGAGATTTTTTTTAAAAAGAGGAGACAGAGTTTAGACCCACGGAGACGGTGGGGCAGTTGATCTGCACGGAAGATGCAGCAAGCCAGGGGAGAAGGAGCAGGGAAAGCCAGGCGCAGTTCCGTCTGTTGCTGGCTGGAGCCTGGGTGCCCGTTCTACGACACCGGGACTGTTCTAGGTGCTGGGGGACACGAAGCTGGTCACGACCAAAACTTGTTCTCACAGACCTCACATTCTGAAGTAAGTGAAGTAGAGAAAAAGCAGAACCACGTAAAATAGAACTCTTTTAAGTACTGCCAAGCGTGAAAGAGAAAACAGGGTGTGGAGAAGGGGAATGGAGATGACTGTCAGGGAGGGTCCCTTAGAGGAGGTGACAACTAGGCCTCGGATCTGGAGGGTGAGGAGGAGTGACGGCAAGAGTTCTGGCAGAGAAACTGCACTGCAAAGGCCCAGGGATGGGTGTGAGCCTGGCGTATTCCGGCCGAGGGAGAAGCCAGGAAGGCCGCAACAAGAGGGAGGGAGGGAGGCAAAGCCCACATGGTCAGGGAAGGAGGCTGTGCTCAGGATTTAAACAAAAATATGAGCACAATGAAGGAGAGAAATTGGATATATAAAGAAGAATAAGACAGAATTCTAGCTGGAAGTAAAGATGCCTTGTTGTGCAGTAGGTAGCGCACCAGTCACAATAATACAATGCTGAAGAGAAAGCCGGAGGACCGAGCCTGGGTCCAATTCAGCTCTACTCTTTGTTTGTTTTCATCCCCACTCGAGGACATTTCTTTTTCCATCGCTTTTAGAGGGGAGGAAGGGAGAGGGAGAAACAGCGATGCGAGAGGGAAGCATCGACTGGCCACCTCCGGTTCGCGCCCGGGCCTGGCGTTGTAAGCGATTGGACTGGGGATCACACACACCTGTGCCCTGGCTGGGACCTGAACCCGCCTCCCAATGCTCCAACCAGCTGAAAAACACTGGCCAGGGCCAATTCTATTCTTGATGGGAAAAGCCTTCAGAGACTAGGAAAATTGCAAGACACGGGACTGGGGAATGAAGAAAAAAACTGCAATTATTTGAACCATAAACAGGTGTGTTAGTTTTCCAGTTGCAAAGTATTTAAGAGTTTTAAGCTTAAAGATGAGTTATACAATATTCGTTTAAAAAGTTAAATGCTCCAAATTAGCTGCTCTGTTCTGTGACAGCAGATGGCTATCAGCCACATGTTGTCTGGCAAACATTAAAAAATAAACAGTCTATGTCTTTGAAGTCAATGTGATGTTTTAATACTTAGCGGGAAAAATACTACTTCTTGAAAGAAACTCATGTATAGCGACAGCATTCTAAAAGTGGATATTTGGAAATGTTCCCATCATTATATAAACTTATGGGCAAAGACAACATCCTCTGCAAAAATGTCTCAATGCCTTTTATCATATGAGAGAGAGTAGGGCACAATGGTTTGGGGTATGGGGCAGACTGCAGGTGTTCAAATCCCAGCTCTGCCACTTAACCTTAGACAAGTTACTTAATGTTGCATTACTAAGATAATATGCGCATACACTTAGAAAACTGCCAGACATGGAGTGAACACTCAAAAAATGTTA